TTTTGATTTTTTACCTGGATTACTGAGATGCATCAGGACAGTTAACTAAAATGTTTTTTCAATTTAAGTTTTCGTTATTTAGTTTTAGTTAACTATAATAACCCTGATTCAAACTATATAATTCTGTCTTTAGAAGCCTGTTACCATCAACTCATTCACTCTGTAAGGTTTGTAGCTGTATAATTTCCCATGTTCAGGGGATGTCGGTGGTCCGACACAAAGGCTCTGCTCCTTACTTGTTTTATCTGATGAAGCCTGGTGCTGGGGATGCGAATTGGTGACGACGGGACCTGAAAACGAGGACATGTGGGGACAAAAAACAAGTAAATAATGTGTGATTCTGACAGAAATGTGTTTTAAAGATCAACAGTGTACCATGTTGGGCCGGTTGACAACTGTAGTGCTGTTCCTGCGACAGCGGAGGACCTCTCTCTGGAATACCTGAGAGTTATCACTGCAATGACAAATTCAGATTAAATGTCATCTGTCCCTTCATGCCAGTGTATAAAAACTCTTCAGTGTCACGAGATACAGAAAATTTAGCAGAACCTCAAGCCATTGATCATGGGTGCACTGTTTGATCTCCTCAGGTGTCCATCGGCCTGAACTAACGAAGAGGCGACTTCTAGATCCAGGTCCATCTTCTCTTGAGGCATCACTCCGGAGTTATTCATGTTTGTCAGACAAAAAAAAAAAAAAAAAAAAAAGCGCTGTCCGTCCGCGACTCCCGAACTTCAAATGGATGTCCAGCTCAGTAATGCTGCATTACTGACCTCCACGTCCCACAGCTTTTACATGATTATTAGGACTTAGTCAGGCAGACAACCTGACACGAGACAAGTTGAACAATGTAAACAAGCCTGAGAGACGTACAGGCCCTCTTCCTGCGATACGAGCCAGGTGTAGAAACTAATTAACGACGTTCAACCATGACGTTTTATCCACACCGATATACAGCTTCACCTATCCGGCGCCAGTGTCCTTCAGACCAGTCACCAACTTTCCCGATGGAAGGTTAGCATGCCATGGCTACATACCACACAAACTAGCTACGGACCCGGTTAGTGGTCTTGCTGGAGCTGCAAACCAGTCTACAACTGCTTAAATGAATGGGTCCTAATCAAACTGACTGAGTTTGTTGCCTTAAATACAATTAAACTCTCGTAATAAGTTAGTCTAAATTTACCGAGCAACGACGCGTCTGTGTAAAAATGTAGTTATGCCTTTCTAGCTAGCTAGCGCAGCGTAGCTAGTGTCAAATTAGCGCTACATACATACAGCAGCTAGTCGGAGAAGCTAACTAGCTAAGTTAGCATTTAAGCTAATCAGCTACAATGCCATTTCCAAAGAGAGCCTGGGTCACCATTTCACAGAATGGTTTTATCCATCAGCCTGATCAGGAGTCCGGCTCAAAAAATACACAAACTCTGTCTACTAGAAATATTGTCCCTGGATACTAGAATTTCATATTTCGTTTCTGCTGAGGGTCTGCGGTCCCAATGATCACAAGGGAGCTAGCTGTTAGCAGCTAATTTCACGCCCCTTTCAGTGTTAGCAGTCCTCCAATGAAACGGCTTCTCTCAACAAAAACTTAAATAAAACCTCATGTCTTAACATAACTGTCTTATTTGATCAACACAAGTGACCAAGGGGTGACCAATTTATTTTCAAGATTTTGTTTTTTAAGTTTACAAAACAATACAAGCCACATACATATATATAT